TCTCTTGGAATTCACTATGTAGACCAGGCTGGCCTTGAACTCACAGAGATCCGCTTGCCTCTGCCTCCCAGGTGCTGGGACTACAGGCATGTGCCACCACGCCTGGCTAATAAATATATTTTTATCTTGGAATCATTTTAGATTTACAGAGGAGTTTGATTCCCAGCACCCACACGGCAGCTAACAACCATCTATAGCTTCAGAGTTCCAGGGGATCCAATGCCTTCTGACCTCCTCAGGCACTGCATGACACGGTGCTTATACCCACATTCAGGCAATACACTCATACACATAAAAGAAAAATAAAATACTTTTTTAAAAGTGCATTAGGTGAGTAACTTGGCCTATAAAGCAAGGCAAACTACAAACTCTGGCTATTATCTGACTTTGTAAGCTTGGCAAACTAAGAGGGGTTTTCTCATTTTTAAAATGGTCGAAAGAACTGAGAGGAATGATATCATAATACATGAAACCATCATGAAACCCACATTTCAGTGACCATAACTACAGTTGGGCTGGTTTGCAGGCATGGTCACTCTTTTCTACAGTGACCATATTTATATCTGCCCTCCAGTTGAAGGTCTGGGGAGCTGCAATACAGACTGTTAGACCAAAAGAGTCTCAATATTTACTATGGGGTGGGTGCAGAGTTTGCCAAACCTGTGGTGGAGGGTCTAGTGAGGACCTGGCATTCAATTTAAGTCAAAAGATATTAAAAGGGTATCAAAGAGCTGGGTGTGCGTGGTGTACACACAACTGTAATCTCAGCACTTGGAAGATACAGGAAGTAGGAGCAGGAGTTCAGGGTCATCCACAGCTCTATATCAAGTTCGAACTCCTTACAATGATATGCTCATTGTTGCTCTCCAGCCTTTGTGCCGGTTGTTTTATTCTCCCAGGTATAAAAAAAAAGAAGTGTACTGTGTTTCAAGTTTACTCACTCCACAAATACTGAGGGCCCAGGGGTCAGACCTAAGACAAACCCCCAATTTCAGGCTGTGTGAAGCAATGCTCAGACTTGGGGACCGGGAGAAGTTGAATCTCCTCAATCATCGTCTCAGCTTCCTGGTGGTTTCTGCCTGTGATACTAATAGTTGCTGTCATATTGGGAGCGCTACCCTGTGCCAAGAATGTTTGACTTGCTCAATCTCTTTTAATCCTCACAACCTCCCCAGGAGCTGCTCCAGAAGGAAACTGAGGTTTAAAGGCTTAGCCACACCCAAGGGCACATAGGTAGCAGAAACAGAGCAGAAGCCTAGTCAAGTACCTGGACTTCCAGGGCAGATGCTGTGTAAACAAGGCACTCACCTACCTCTGTGCTACTATACTCACTGGGGATGGGTGGCCAGATGGGGAGGAAGGTTAGGGGCTGGGGGGAGGGACAGAGCATGGGGAGGAGGGAAGGGGTAATGGGGGAGGAAGGGTGATTCTGGAAGTCCACTCCCTACTAGTACATAAATTCCCAATCTCACGGTAACTAACACAGAGACTGCAACAGTTGATTAGCAAGAGGCCTAACTTTTCTCAAAAGGACTTGCAATGAGGTTTTTGGTGTTCAGTTTTGTCCCTTGGTCTTCATGCACAAGATCTGTGACACTGCCTTTTGTTCCTTCAACCATCCCTCTCTGTGGTTACCAATTTGCCATCCCTGTGCAGAAGAGTCTGAGTCTCTCTCTGGGCTGTCCCTGTCCCCCTTTCTTGGACCAGGGTGCCAGTGCTGGCCTGTCCTCTTTATTCAGGTGCCTGAAGGCTGGGCCTGCCCTAAGGGAGGTAAAAAGGGGTGACTGGACACTCAGCTTTTGTCAACTATGATGAGCGCAAACAAAACCAAAGTACCTGCAGGAAGTGGCCCCCAGGTAGAAGGTCTCTGGCCAGGCTGGGGGTGGGGGATGGCTGATACAATCCTGCTGTCCAAGGCTATTTGGGCCTTCCTGGAGGAATATCAATGACAAAGACCTTGGCCTCCCTACACTTTGTCCAGATCAGCAAGGAAAGACCACCTCAACTGAGTCTGAAGGTTGGCACCAGATCTCATGCCACCAGCTGGCACTAACAGTTGTGCTCAGGACAACTATTCCAACATATGCAGTGAGTAAAATTGAAGAGTGCCAGGTTTCACAAAGAAAGCCCCTTACTGGTGTCCAGGATGTGTCCAATACAGAGTTAGTTTGGGTTTGTTTTTGTTTGTTTGTTTTTTTTTTTTAAGAGAACCAGTCATTTGAGAGTTTCCTATTCCCTAAAATGTCCCAGGAACTTTTTAATAAGCTTAGTAATATATCTCCTAAGCCCTTAGCAAGTGCAAAATTGATTCCTAAAGCTTGTTTTTCTTTTCCATGCTTTTTATTCATTTTAAAATTTATTTATTTATTTTATTTTTTATTTTTTTGGTCTTTTTGAGAAGGGTCTCCCTGTAGCCCCAGCTGTCCTGGAACTATGTAGACCAGGCTGGCCTTGAACTCACAGAGATCCTCCTGCCTCTGCCTCCCAAGTGCTGGGATTAAAGGCATTAGGTTGCAAAGGTCAGGTGACACGGTGGGAAAAGGATAAGCGGGTGCCTGTAGAAATTTTGCTGGTGCCGTCTGCCCCAAGGTTGCTGTGACACAGTTGGGTTAGGGTAGACAGTTCCTCATTCCAGGCTGTTCCAAAGACTCTCCATGAAATAGAAAAGTGTGTGGAGGCAAGAACAGCCATGGCATGGATCCCCAGGCCTGGGTGGGATGTTCAGCATGTGGTGGGACCTCAGCCAGCAGCAGGCCTTCCTGATGACATGTGTGATCCAGAGAAGCCACAGTCAGAGGATTATTCCCTTCCTTTCCAGTGCCCAGGGGGACTCAGTCCCTCAGGCAGGGGATCATGCCAAACTCCCAGCTCCACAGTGTGAAGAGGTCTCAATGCACGAATGAGGTTGTGGTTGCTATGCTGTTGGTCTCGTGCAGATGGCTCCATAGGAGAGAGGCACCTTAAGAGGATCAGAATCGTTAGCGCAATGCTGCTTTCCCAGGTGAAGGCCCTTGTTGAGGTGGGCAGGTGTGCTGGACTGATCAGGAGGGTAACAGTGGGCACACCTGCTAGAAGGAGACCTCAGAACTGAGTGCAAAATTCTAAAAGTAGATTATGACAGTGAAACAACAAAACACCACTGTAAACTTACTGTTGTCCCCTAAATGCCTCAGGCACTGAGGCCCAGTGCCTGTCTTTGCTCACCACACACTGTGGCTGTGAAGCAGCCACGATTGCTACTTGGCCTCCAAAGGGTGGGGCTATGGCTTCTGGCCCAGGTGCAGTGCTGGGTCACTTCTGCATTTTCTTTGGCAGTTGCCACCAGGGTTAAGCATGACCAGTAGTGCTCATCGTAACCGCCACACATAACTGCTTGGGTGTTTTGCTGAGGAAAAAGCCACATTTGGGCACTCCCAGGAGTCTAGGACACCCAGCACCTCCTCCCACACCTGAGGGACTGAGTCCCCCTGGGCACTGGAGAGGAAGGGACTAAGCCTCTGATTGTGGCCTCTTTGGGATCACACATGTTATGAGGAAGGCCTGCTGCTGGCTGAGGTCCCACCACATGCTGAACAAAGCTCCCCAGGCCTGGGGATCCATGCCATGGCTGTTCTTGCCTCCACCTACTTCTCTATTTCAGAAACTGTGGAATGTCCAACTTTGCAAATCCCATTGCTTAACAGAAATTTGCTTTTAATGTCTAAATGTTCTAAAGATTAGGGCAAGGGTAAGGACGTACAGAAAAAAGAGTGCCTGTTGGAAAACATATGCACATGTGCAAGCACATACAAAGCCCTTTGTGCTTTAAGCATCTTTGTGACTTTACTGTCCGGAACTGTCTGAGATGGTTAAACCAAGAATGTCAGTCACGAATATTTCTGCAGTGATCTCGTCTGGAAGCTCTTCTTCAAAGCAGATTTCTGGACCTAGGCAAGTGAGAAAAGAAAACCAAAGGCCTCCCAGTGATTAGGTTCCTCACTCGGGCATGTCTAAGACACACAAGGATATGACAATGAAAGTGACAGCGCTTTTGGCTTTTTTTTTTTTCTTTTGTCTTTTTGAGACAGGGTTTCCAGGTGACCTGGGACTCACTGTGTAGACTAGATCAGGCTGACCTTGAACTCACAGAGATCCACCTGCCTCTGCCTCCCAAGTGCTGAGACTAAAGGCGTGCACCACCATGCCCAGCCTACCCTTTGACTTCTTGACTTTTCCTGGGTGGAAACTAGTTCAAATGGAGTGGAGCCCTGCTAACTGGGGATGTTGGTAAACCTGGCCCTGAGGCCTTGGCCATCCTATAGAGTACTGCAGATTCTACTGTTCCAAGAGTGCTAAAAACAAAATTTAAATATGTAGCAATTGGGAAACATGTTCTGAGTACCTAAATACAGAAAAGAATGGGATATTGGAAGCCTATAGGTTGGAAATGACCCAACTAGAGTCTAGAATGATCGGAGTGTGGGAACTGTCATCTGGCCCTGGGAACACAGTATAAAAGGAACAAGAGGCAGGGAGACAGACCATGAATCTTTGTCTGTATGCCTCAGAAGGTGTGGGTCCTGACCACCAATTAGCATGGGCTTGTTGGTAGAGATTCTCCAACCTAAGCCCAGAAGAACGTTTAAATTGTTTCTTCCAGAACTTAAATCTGAAACCCTAACTTTAGGCCCAGTGACTAAAAAAAAATAGTAATTGGAAAAAAAATAATTGGAACAATCCCAGGCTGAGGACAGAACCAGGGTTTCTAGCATTTTGAGGTCTTCTACCACTGATCCACACCTTAAGCCCAGGATGATTTTTAAGAACTTGAAGTGGGGGGAGTGGGAAGATAGTTTGGTTGATAAAGTGCTTGCTACACAAACAAGAGGACTGGCGTGCAGATTCCCAGAACCACGTAAAAGCCTGGCAGTCGAGTGACCACCTATGATCCCAGCACTGGGGAGGAGAGACAGGGGATCTTTGAGGCAACTCCACTAGATTAGCCAAACTTGATGAGCTCCAGGTTCAGTGAGAGATCCTGGCTCAGTGAATACAGTGGAGAGTAAGAAGGCACACGGCATCAGCTTCTGGCCTCCACATGTGTTCAGGTACACATGTACATGCATAACTGTACACACAAGTGTGCCCACACATATCCAAACATGCACATACACAAGCAAATATACACATGCACATGATACACACACACACACACACACACACACACACACACACACACACACACAAGGAAATAAAATTCAAGGGGCCCTCAAGATGGCTCAATGGGTGAAGTCTCTTACCACCAAGCCTGAAGACACAGGACCCACATGGTGGAAGGAGAGACCTGACTCCCACAAACTGTCCTCTGATGCCCCCCCTCCCTTTGAAAAGATGTGAAAGAAAAATTTTATGAAAAAACCATGAAGTCAAACATGGTAGCACATGCCCGTAATTCTGGCACCTGGGAGGTGGAAGCTGGAGGATCAGGAGTTCAAGGCCAGCCTGAGCTAGAGTAAGACTGATCTCAAAAGAGAGAGAGAGAGGAGACAGAGAGAGAGAGAGAGAGAGAGAGAGAGAGAGAGAGGAGGGAGGGAGGGAGGAAGGAAGGAAGGAAGGAAGAAGGAAGGAGAGAAAGAGGAGGGGGAGGAAGATGGAACTTTAAAGTCTGGCAGCTTAAAGCTGGATTTGTGCTGCCAAGTTGCCTGTCTTTACTCACACGTTCTTCTGAAACTGCTGTTCTACTGTGCCCTCCTTGAGCGGCTGATGTTCACCCACCCAAGCCAGGAAGATGAAGGCTAAACCAATAGAACAAAGAAAGAAACAAGGCCAGAAGATACAACAGAACAAGCAGAACAGGAAGAAATGCTCTCGTCGGGAGGCACAGCTATGGCTCACTTGCTTTGTCATAACTTATTCATGTGGGATTCCCAGCAGACTCTGTTGTGTGCACAGTCTTAAGGAGAGTGGCCTGCACCAATCAGGAGAAATAAATGCACTAAGTTTACAACAAATTAGTGAGCAGGGCTACAAGCCCAGACAGAGGCAGGCCAAGTACCTTTGTCAGAGGCGGCTGCAGGCTCAGATTTCCAGCCCTCAGGATTCAGGCCAAACAGCATGGAAAAGCAGTCATACAGCTCCTCTTCCGTCATGTGCTCACCTGGGCACCGTCAAGTGAAAAAGGAGTCTAGTTAGCTCTGCAGGCTACACATAACATCAGAGTTTAGAATTACTATTTTGAGGTCTTTGTTACATTTTTTGAGACAGTTTCATGTAGGCCAGCCTGGCCTCAAACTCATTATGTAACTGAGGATGTCCTCGAACTCCTGACACTCTTACTTCTATCTACCAAGTTCTGGGATTACAGGTTTGGGACACCATGTTTGGTATATGCATGCTAGGGGCTGAATCCAGGACTTTAGGCCAGCTGGGCAAGCACTCTATCAACTGGGTTACGTCACCAGCCCAACTTCAAAATTCTTTTTAAAGATCTATTTATTTTTATGTGTATGAGTGTTTTTGCCTGTATGCATGTATGTATAACACTTGTGTGCCAGGATCCCCTGGAACTGGAGTTACAGATGGTTGTAAGCCACCATGTGGGTGCTTGGAACAAAATCTGGGTCATCTGCAAAAGCAACAAGTGCTTTTAATTGTTGAAACCATCATCTCTCCAGCCCCCCCAACTTTGAATTTTTTATATTCCTGCCTCTGCTTCCCAGGGGCTTAGAGTTGTTTACTACCATGACTGACCAGAGATCTTTTTTGTTTTTTTACATTTATTTGTCTGTGTGTGTGTGTGTGTGTGTGTGTGTGTGTGTGTGTGCATGTGCGCGCGCTCTATGGTATATGTGTAGAGGTCAGGGGACAACTTTTGGGAGTTCTTTCCTTCTAGTATGTGGATTCTGGTGATTGAACACAGGTCTTCAGGTTTGGCAGCAAGCGTTTTTATCGACTGAGCCATATTGCTGGCCCACACCCAAAGACCTTAAAGAGAATTATTCTAGCATTTCTTTTTCTTTAGACAGAAGGGCAATCCACAGAGTCCCACATTACTCTCACACTACTTCCTTTCATGGTGTGACTAAGGGACTGAAGCTCGGGAGATATCCTAGGACTTGTAGAAAGAGACAGGGCAGCTCGGTAATGAAGGCTGGACCCAGCTTTATTTCGGGCTTCCTCTTATCAGAGGCACCCTGATCTGACCAAGATGGAAAAAGCCCCCATTGAGAACGCTGTGTATGCTTTACTTTGGGAACCCATCCCAACCTTACAAAGCCCCAGGAGACTGACAAACTGGCATCTGCACCCCTGGTTCATAAGGTGGGATGGGTGTGGTGTTGCACACCTCTAATCCCAGCACTAGGGAGGCTGAGACTGGAGAGTTCAAGAGCTGGAGGCCAAAGCCAAACAAAAACAAAACAAATGAGTGTCACACACACAAATAATAACTTGCAAGAGTCAGTTCTCTCCTCCCATATGTGGGTTCTGGGGATGGAGCTCAGGTTATCAGGCTTAGCTGCAAATGCCTTTACCCACTGAGCTATCTCACTGGCCCGTGAGTCACATTTTTGTCATTTGTAGGTCAGGGTTCTTCTCATTACCTCACACTTGTCAAATATGCAGGACAGTGACACACCCTAGAGGTTGAAGCCCTATCATATCACTATTCTGTCATGACAGATAGAGATCTCCGATCTATCCCCCCTAACTGGGTTCTCTCTGCTGGGAATAGTCTAAGGATGTTACCGGATATCCCTGCTTGTGAATTTACCTTTAGTTAAGAGCAGTTTCAGGAAATCCTCTCTCCGAATAGCCTTCTTTCCTTGGGAATTAGTGAAGCCAAGCACATTAAAGCTCTCCTGGATGCCAACCATGGTGTTGCCAAAAGGTGGCCGGTGGTTAAGATAAACTTTGAGGAAATCTGGTAAGTTGATTTTGTCAATTAGCTCCCCAGTGTCCACATATTCACTGAACTTGATTTCATTAAACATGTCCTCAATCTAAGGAAGAGATTAGATTTTTTTTTAAAAAAAGAACTTCATTATTATTACATGTGTAAAAATTGGAGAAGGACAGACAGATGTTCAAGCTTAGAATGTGTCTTTATGGGTTGAGTTGTGTTCCCCAGGAAAGACTCTGAAGTCCTAACCTTGGGGATCTCATTAGAAAAAGGGTTACTGCAGGTGTAATTATGGTTAAAACAAGGTCCTGTTGGAGTAGGCAGCCTTTAACCGAGCATAACCCATCATTACATTATTATAGCTTCAAGCCCAGGAACACCAGGGACTGAAGACAACCTACAGCTGTCATGGGGAACAGGGCCATGCTGACATCTTGATTTTGCATTCCATCAGAGAACAAATTTCTGTTGTTTTAATATGCTTGACCTTGGATTCAATTGTCATCTCAAAATAAAATGAATAATTAAATTATTTTGGTGTTTTAAAATATTTAAATATTTTATTATTTTTATTTTTTGTGTATGAATGTATTACCTACATCTATGTAAGTGCACCCCTGTTGTGCAATGACCTCAGAGTTGAGAAGAGGGCATCAGATTCCCCTGAAACTTGAGTTACAGATGGTTGTTAGCTGTCATGTGGATGTTGGGACTCAAACCCAGGTCCTCTGCAAGAGCAGTCAGTGCTCCTAACTGCTGCGCCATCTCTCTAGTTCCCTCCCCCTTTTTTGTCTTTTTGAGACAGGGTCTCCCTGTAGCCCCAGCTGTCCTGGAACTCACTATGTAGACCAGGCTGGCCTTGAACTCACAGAGATCTGCCTGCCTCTGCCTCCTGAGTGCTGGGATTAAAGGCGTGTGCCACCACGCCTGGTCTATTTCTTTTTAATTTTTAAAAATTTTATGTGTATGAGTGTATTCCCTGCATGTATGTGAGTGCACCGTGTCATGCAATGCTGCAGAGGTTAGAAGAGGGCATCGGATTGCCCTGGAACTGGAGTTAAGGACAGTTAGTAGCTGCCATGTGGGTCCTGGGAATTGAACATGGGTCCTCTGCAAAAGCAGTCACCAGCCCCCCCCCACCATTTCTATTTTTTAAAATTATGCCTGTGTGTGTGTGTGTGTGTGTGTGTGTGTGTGTGTGTACAAGTGTAGATGCCTGTGCAGGCCAGAAGAGGCCATCAGATCCCCTGCAGTTGGAGTTACAGCAGTTGTGAGTAGCCAATATGGGCACCAGAAACTGAACTCAGGTTCTCTACAAGAGTAGCAAGCACTGGAGTTAAGGACAGTTGTTAATTGCCATGTGGATGCTGGGAACCAAACCCAGACCCTCTGCAAGAGCAGCCAGTACTCTTAACCACTGAGTCATTTCTCTAGCCCCCCCCAATCCCCTGTAAGTTTCTTAAAGCAATGAACTGTACCATGATTCCTTTTCCATCTCTTTTTCAAAATGCTGTGCAGCACTATTCTAGGTATACAACAGATCACCTAGCATCCCACCAGCATCCACAACTCAGGTGGTCTAATTTTTTAAATGGACACCTAAGAAGCCATTTGTCATTGAAAAGATCAACGAAGTTGGGTATGGTGGTGCACCCCTGCAATCCCAACATGTGGGAGGTTGAGGCAGGTTAAATAATAACGACAGACCACAACAACGTTGACAAACCTTCAATGAGGCTGAGAAATAAAGAGAAAGACCCAAACTGCTAAAATCAGGAATGAGGGAGGGATTGTCATTATTGATCCATCAAAATGAAGAACAGTGTACTCTACAGGGAGACTGAGCTACCACATTAGATAACACAGATAGAACAGAAACATTCCCAGAAAGGTACAAATGACCAAAAGCTACTCAAGGAGAAATGGAACATCTGAATAGATTTGCAATAAGTAAAGAATGGAATAGTCATCTTAAGCCTTCACACAAAGAAAAGCCAAGGACCAGATAGTTTCCTTGGTGAATTCTACCAAATACTTAAAGACGTGTGCTGATTTTCTACAAACTCTTCCCCCAAGATTTTCAATGCAAATGTCCTCAATAAAATGCAAGCAATCCAATCACAGCATCATAAAGAGTCATGTAATACAACTACCTGGTATTTATCCCAAGAATACAAAGTTGGTTTAACCTCAAGGAAGATATATAAATTGTCAATAGAACAAGAACAACATCAAATGGTTACCTAATCATATGGTTAAATGCTGAGAAAAAAAGAATTTGACAAAAATATAACAACTTATATCATAAAAACACTCAGCAGAATAGACATAGAAGAAAGTGACCTCAGCTGAATAATGCACAGGGTGGGGGGTGAGACCTACAGGCATGACAGTGAGAGACTGCATGCCACTCAGGACCAGAGCAAAACATGAACATCTGCCCAACCCTGTCCTGAAGGCTCTAGCCAGAGAAATTAACCAGGAAAAAGACATCTATCCAGAAGTTATCCAGATTTAAAAGGAAAAACTAAGGCTGGGCATGGTGGCACATGCCTTTAATTCCAGCACTTGGGAGGCAAAGGCAGGTGGATCTTTGTGAGTTCGAGACCAGCCTGGTCTACATAGTGAGTTCCAGGACAGCTGGGACTACAAGGGGACCCTGTCTCAAAAAGACCAAAACACACACACACAAAATGAATGTTTAACTGTGTGTGTGTCTGTGAGATGGGGGGACAAGAGCATGCCATCCTACACATGTGAGATCAGAGGACTTTGTGGAGTCTATTTTCTTCTTCTTTAGAACCCTTTACATGAGTTCACCTTGGGTCAGGCTTGTTCACAAGTGCCTTACTAAAATTATCCACTATATAGAATCATGTTACCCATACATGTTTATAGGTAACATGAGTCTATATAGGAAAATTCACTAAAATCTATGAGAACTGGTAAACAGGTTCAATGAGAGCATAGGTATGATATCAACATATGAAAATCAATTGTATTTTTTTATGACAAACACCACAAAGATGAAATTAAGGAAATAATTTCATTTTTTTTTAAAAAAGTGTGTGTGCTGCGGGGTGTGGTGGCGCATGCCTTTAATCCCAGCACTGGGGAGGCAGAGGCAGGTGGATCTTTTTGAGTTCAAGGCCAGCCTGGTCTGTGTAGTGAGTTCCAGGTCAGCTGAGGCTATAAGGAGACCCTGTCTCAAAAAATACCAAAAAAAAAAGTGTGTGCGCATGATTGCGTGTATGCATGTATGCTTACACACGAGTACCACAGCACACATATGGAGGTCAGTGGACAACATGTGCATTCCGGGGATCACACATATGGAGGTCAGTGGACAACATGTGCATTCCGGGGATCAAACTCAGGTCGTGAGCCTTGGCAATAAGTGCCTTTACCTGCTGAGCCATCTTGCCAGCCCAATAGTGCAATTTCTAATAGTATCAAACTCAATAAATACCTAGAAATAAATTTAACAAAAAAGGTTTAAACTCTAAAAACTACAAAATATTATTGAAATTAAGAAAAACCTAAATTAATAGAAAGAATTCCTGCATTTGGAGCTTGGAAGACTTAATATTGCTAAAGTGACAATCCTCTCCTGACTGATTATTGATCAGTATAGCCTAATGTCTGAGGCCCTGAGCTCCATCTTCAGCACCACCAGAAACAATAACAAATTGATTACTGACTGAACAGAAACTCTAATCCCAGCTGGCTTTTTTGTTGTTGTTCCAGAAACTGACAGGCTGATCCTAAAATTCACACTGCAAGAATAGACAAAAAGTAGAAAAAAGAATAGACAGAGAATAAACAAAATGGTAGAAAAAGGCAGAACAAAGCTAAATGGCTCATACTTCCTGCTTCCCAGTTTCAAAACGTACTACCATCCAACAGTTATCAAAGCAGTGTTGTTTCGGCACAAGGGCAGCCATAGAACACAAAGAAACAGAATTACGAGTTGGGAAAGAGGTCCGGAAAGACACTCAGCAGTTACTAGGGCTTGCTGCTCTTGCAGAGGACCAGCATTCAGTTCCCAGCACCCATGCCCAGTAGCTCACAACCACCTCTAACTCTAGCTCTTGGGGATCTAATATCCTTTCTGGCCTCTGCAGGCACCTGTATACACATGCACATACACACTCAGAGATACACACACCTCAGAGATACACACACATATATACAAGTAAAATCTAAAACTAAAAATTTCAATATTTTGAAAACGGCATTTGTTTATTTATTTGTATTATGTGTGGGCATACACATAGCATGGCACATGAAAGGAGCCAGAGGACAACTTGCTGAAGTCAGTTCTCTCCTTCTATCATGTGGGTTCTGAAGATCAAACTTAGGTCATCAGGTTTGGCAGCAAGCAACCTTCCTACTGAGCCATCTTCTTGGCCCCAGCTATTTAAAATTGTTTTGGTCTTTAAGTTTTTAATTTTTATTTTTGCTAATCTAACTTGCAACCCAACTGCCTCAAGCCAGTTTTTTTTTTTCTTTTCTTTACTTTTTTGGTCTTTTTGAGACAGGGTCTCCCTATAGCCCCAGGTGGCCTGGAACTCACTATGTAGACCAGGCTGGCCTTGAATTCACAGAGATCTGCCTGGCTTAAAGGCCTGTGTCACCACACCCAGCCCCCAGTCATTGTTTTTTTAAAAGCCACCATCCAGACATGGGGGTAACCCACCTTTAATCCCAGCACTCAGGAAGCAGAGGCAAGTAGATCTCTGTGAGATCTAGGCCAGCTTGGTCTACATAGTGAATTTTAGGGCAGCTGGAGCAACAAGGAAACCCTGTCTCAAACTAACTAACTAACTAACTAACTAACTAACTAACTAACTAGCTAACTAAATAAATAAATAAACCATCAGCCAACTAAAGAAATTATCAGCACCTCTGGCTTCCTCATACGCCCCTTTTCTGAACCGTCTCTGACCTCATTGCTCCACGAAACTACTATCTGAATTTTAGATTATTACCACTTCATGGGCTTATACGGTTTTCTTACATGAGCAGGGGTCTTTAACCCAGAGATTATTTACTTTTACTTTAAAGGCACTTAAAGAAGAGATTATTTAAAACCTAATC